CCAGAATTACCTTATAATAACCTCAGAATTATCTAAAAAAAATTCTAGAATAACCCTAAAATATCCCAGAATTATCCAAAAATAACCCTAATGTTCTCCTGAAATAACACTAGAATTACCCTAACATAATATATACGGCTGCCGAGAATTCAGCTATATAACAGTTTCAAGAATTATCCTAAAATTACCCCCAAAATAACCTAAATTAACCCCAGATTTATCCTAAAAAAATCCAGTCGGTTTTCTCACTCAGATCGTCGCCATCTCCGGCCCCGAAGAGTCTGTTGGCGGCCATTTCGACGTAAAAGACTTGCTTCCCGGCGGCCCCTTCGTAGCTCCTGGTGATGACGTAGTCGGGGCGCATTTGATGACCCGTGCCCGTCGAGAGGCCCTGCGAAGGGGGGAGGGGAAACTCGTGTAATTCCGTGCCGTTATTTTTTATATTTTCATTAGCCATTTTGTAATTGTTTGTATCTGCTTTATTTTTTTTATGAGTCACTGTCTTTCTATTTATCTTTTTATGGGTCACTTTGCGTTTTTTTTACATCTGTATTATTCTTTTCATTAACCACCTTGATTTTTTTTTTTTAATCTCTGAATTATTTTCGTATTTAGTTCCTTTTGTAATTCTATATCTGTATCATTATTCTTTTCACTAGGCACTCTGCAATTCTATATCCTTTTTAGTAGCCATTTTGCAATCATATATATTATTCTTTTAATTAGCCGCATTAATAAACTCTTTGATAAAGACCGGAAAGCTAAATTTGTACATCTTGCAAGACTGTGATATTTACATTCGCACTTATCATGTTAATTCATGTGTATTGTATGCGTAATCTGCTCTGTTTCCATGCGAGGAAGAATGATATTTTGTAATACAGGATATAATGGCGAACAATTCTTTTATTTTAGTGTGGTATCCCATATTTGTTTAATTACGTTCTTTCTCCCTCCCTCCCTCCCTCCCTCTCCCTCCCTCCCTCCCTCCCTCCCCCTCCCTCCCTCCCTCCCTCTCCCTCCCTCCCTCCCTCCCTCTCTCTCTCTCCCTCCAAATGACACGAAAAGCGAAGCACCTGCATAAGCTTCCCGTCGCTGGACCACACCGTCGCCTCGCTTCCCGTGGCCCATCGGAACCTCACTTCGCATCCCACCCACTCCTCGGGGATCTCGTACTCCACCTGCCGGGAAATTACGGATTACTGATCACTTATTACTTTATTTAATTAATCTATTCATTTAATTTATTAATTTAATTTAATTAATTGATAAATAAATAATTTGATAATTAATTTATTATTATTAATTATTATTTAATTACGGATTACTGATAACGAACCAAATGGAGTGTATATAGAGCAATGGAGGGAATTTGATGAGAGAAAAGAAGGAAATTGTGGATTTACTTTGAACCAATGTAGAGGAGTGTAAATAGATCATTGAAGGGAATTTAATGAGAGAAAAGAAGGAAATTGTGGGTCTACTTTGAACCAGTGTAGAGGAGTGTAAATAGAGCATTGAAGGGAATTTGATGAGAGAAAAGAAGGAAATTATGGAATTACTTTGAACCAGTGTAGAGGAGTGTAAATAGATCATTGAAGGAAATTTGATGAGAGAAAAGAAGGAAATTGTGGATTTACTTTGAACCAGTGAGTGTAAATAGAGCATTGAAGGGAATTTAATGATAGAAAAGATATTATGGATTTACTTTGAACCAGTGGGTGGTCCATGTCGGGCCGAATGACTCGCCGACGCTGGTTGGGAGGAAGGTCTGTTGCATCACCTCCTCAAAGGTCCAGCTCTGCCACGCCCCCTCGCCGCCTGGAACCGCCCAGTGACTCAGGGCTGAAGGGGAAGGGGGGTGGGGGTGGGGGGAGTTAGTGGTGAAAAGTTTAGAGATAAAGATAAAGATTCGATGGAATGAAAAATGGTAAAATCTATAAAAGTACTTTAAAACGGATTTATTGATGAAATCTGAATTTTACGTCGGTGTTTACAATTCTGAGGTGATAGACGAAGAAGAAGAAGTAGAAGAAGAGGAAGAAAAGACAATAACAACGTCAAACAAAAGTTCCTCTCGCATTTTTTAACATTTTATATTTTCCTTTAACTCACAGACAGGGCGGGTGTCGGCGTACAGTCGGCCCTTGAGGTTGACGCTCGAAAATCTGGTGGAGTTGATGTAGTTGTCGATCCTCGGAAGCGTCGTCTTGAGGTTCTTGTGGAGGCTCGCTTGCACCCCCGGGTCCGCCATGATGACTTTTTTTCTTGATTTTTTTTGGAAAATTTAGTTGGTGGCTTCCTCTGATCTTAGGCAAAGGATATATGTATGTAGTCGTTGTGATTTTAGGTTTAGATTATCTTTTTTTTATTGTTGTGATAAATGGCATTGGCCAGAGAGCAAATCAATCCCTTGCTAGTATTAATTTGTGTTTTCAGAATAAAAAAAAGAAAAAAAAAAGAAAAAAAAATCAACTTACTCGATTATTCGCACTTCTAA